AAACCTCCGACTGTAAAAACCGTGGGGGCTGTGGCAGTGGGAGAAACTCCCAGCCTCATTGGAAAATTCGATGACCCACAGGGTCCTAGAACATTCACAAACCCACCCACCTGGGAACCAGCACCAAAAGGGCCCAGTTTGCTTGTGGGTAACAGGGGAAGTGACTGAAAGTGGGGAGAGAGCCCGACAAGCGGCATTGTTCCCTCTCTGACCCTTCCCCAACATACAGCCACACAACAACATGGGTTGCCCTGCCCTGGCGAATACCTAAGCCTCCACCTTTTACAACATAACAGGAGTGCCAAGACAAAGAAATATGGCCCAAATGAAAGAACAGATCAAAACTCCTGAAAAAGAACTAAATGACAAGGAGATAGCCAACCTATCAACTGCAGAGTTCAAAACACTGGTAATCAGGATGCTCACAGAAATGACTGAGTTTGGCTGCAAAACAGAGGAAAAAGTGAAGGCTATGCAGAGTGAAATAAAGAAAAATATACAGGGAACCAACACTGAAGGGAAAGAAACCGGGACTCAAATCAAACATTTGGAAGAGGAAGAAATAAACATTCAACCAGAACAGAATGAAGAAACAAGAGTTCAAAAAAAATAAAGAGAGATTTAGGAACCTCTGGGTCAACTTTAAACATCCCAGCTTCCAAATCATGGGGTGCCAGAAGGAGAGGAGAAAGAGCAAGAAACTGAAAACTTATTTGAACAAATAATGAAGGAAAACTTCCCCAATCTGATGAAGGAAACAGACTTCCAGTAAGTCCAGGAAGCTCAGACAGTCCCAAAGAAATTGGACCCAAGGAGGAACACATCAAGACACATCATAATTAAATTACCCAAGATTAAAGATAAGGAGAGAATCTTAAAAGCAGCAAGAGAAAAAGAGTCACCTACAAAGGAGTTCCCAAAAGACTATCAGCTGATTTCTGAAAGGCAACCTTGCAGGCAAGAAGCGGCTGGCAAGAAGTATTCAAAGTCATGAAAGGCAAGGGCCTACATCCAAAATTACTCTACCCAGCAAAGTTAGCATTTAGAACGGAAGGGCAGATAAAGTGCCTCCCAGATAAGGTCAAGTTAAAGGAGTTTATCATCACCAAGCCCTTAATATATGAAATGCTGAAGAGACTTAACTAAGAAAAAGATGATCAAATCTATAAACAGCAAAATGACAACAAACTCACAATTATCAACAACTGAACCTAAAAAAAAAACAACAAAAACAAACAAGGCAAAAACTAGAACAGGAAAAGAATCACAGAAATGGAGATCACATGGAGGGATATCAGCAGGGAGGGGGAGAGGGGAGAATGTGGGAAAGGTACATGGAATAAGAAACGTAATTGGTAGGTACCAAGAAGACAGGGATAGGTTAAGGATAGTATAGGAAATGAAGAAACCAAAGTATTTGTATGTACAATCCATGGGCATGAACTAAGTAGGGGGAATGCTGGAGGGAAGGAGTGTACAGGACAGAGGGAGATAAAGAGGAGAAAAAAAAATGGGACAGCTGTAATAGCATAATCAACACTGTATACTTAAAAATTGTTTTAAATTACCTATAAACAAAATTATCAACTATTTTGATCCATCCAAGAACTGAATAATGGATTCCCTGCCCTTTCTCACTTCTTCCCACCTTTCTGTAAGCCTGTCTTCCTGACCTCACGTTTTCCACCATGACCTGCATCAAATACCACCTTCTCCAGAAAGTCCCCCCAATCTATCCATCCTCCTCTCAATTTCAACTGCACTTCTATCACTTCAAGGACCTCATCATATTATCCTTGAATTGCACACAATTTAACTCCTCTATATCTTAAAGAACTATAACACTGATCTTGTCAGCCTGTCTCATAGAAGGCACTCGGTATTTTGTTGACTATCAAACTAATTAATTAATTAGAAAATTCAGGTATTTCAGAGTAAGTTAAGAAACTGGACCTAGCCTGGTTTTAAAAAAAAAAAAAAAAAAAACCTACAAATAAGAAACTACAAAAATTACAAATAAAATTTACATTCCTTGAAAAATTATTTCAACATTGACACTCTTCAAAATACAGTGGGACTTTGGTTCTTGAACTTCATTCATTCCAGAAAACTGTTCAAGAAGCAATTGGTTGGAAAACTGAATCTCCTCTGTTTCTTGCCTGATTGATGCATGATGATCACAGAGGTATTAGCATGAGAGGACTGTTGGGTTGTTGATACCTGAAATTTTGTTATACAAGTGAGAAATTTTTTCATGAACAACTTGGTCAAAAGCCAAATTGTGCAAGACCTGAGGCTAGACTGTATAATAAAAAATATAACATTAAAATATAATATGTGGAGTAGATATGACGATCATTTTCTACATTCATAGGGGGCCAAATCAAAAGGCATGAGAAGAAAGTTCCTCAAAGATTATTTACATCAGAACAGTCCACTGCTTGAGAAAATGTCTTTAAGTCAATTATATAACTTTAGAACAAATAGGTTTATGAAGTATCATTTATAAACAAAAAATAGTACATGCCATTTCAAGGCTGACACTTGTTACTTTTAGATATCTAACAATTTGTTTTTGCTTCCAGATTAAATTGTTTATCACCAAAAGTAAAAATCTAAATATTACGTGATTATTTAGAAAAGGAATTTCTGGGGGAGGTGGCACAAGTGAAACAGAGCTATTTCTCAAGAACTAGACACTACTGCTGTTAACAAATAGAGGGTATTGACTGGTTGAATCACTTCATTCCCATCTGTGCATTTATAATTTCTTTCTGGAGCTAACGATGCAAAAATGTTGGAGCTAGGGATTGCCAGATTTAGCAAATAAAGAGATAGGCCCAGTTAAACTTGAATTTCAGATAAATAATGAATTGTATTAGTAAAGCATGTCCTATGCAATATTTAGACTAAGAATTTATCTGCTGTTTATCTTAAATTCCAACTTAACTACGTGTCCTGTATTTTGCCTGACTATCCTAATTGAAGCCAGAAAGTGAAGCAGAAATCAGTATAATTTCCTTGCTTTGTAGGAGAACCTAGGAAGGGAAGGGACTTGTCTAAACCTAATCCTGAGATCAACAAAGTAAGTTTTCTTTGAAAAAAGAAAACATTTCGTGAGGTCATCTCAAGTTCCATTCATGGTCCACCTGACTTCCACTTCTGGCTCACCTCACATAAGGTGGACAAGCTGAAAAAAAAAGGTCATGGTTTTCATTTTTCAACATCAAACTTCAAGTTTCAGTAACTCTCTTACCAATTTTAGAGCCCATCATCAGAAGACTGGATAAAAAAAGTTGTGGTACATTTACACAATGAAATAGTACACACCATTAAAAAAAGGGAACTCTAACCTTTTGGGACTGGATGTATGGACCTGGAGATTATTATGCTAAGTGAAATAAGCCAGTCAGTGAAGGACAAATACCATATGACCTCACTATATGTGGAATCTAATGAACAAAATAAACTGATGAGCACAATGGAAACAGAGGCGTAGATACACAGAACAGAATGACAGCTGTCAGATGGGAGGGGGGACTGGATGGAAGAAGGTGAAAGGATTAGCCAAAGAACATCTGCATAACCCACAGACACAGACAACAATGTGGTAATGGCCACAGAAAAGAGGGGGCAAGGGCTGAGAGCAGGTGAGCTAAAGGGAAAAATAATAGTAGTGTAAACAATAAAAATAAAGTTTAAAAAACACAAAAAGAATTATGCATTTCTCTTCATGTAAAAAATAAAAATCCTCCTGGTAATTTTCCTGCCTACACAGCACCTCTTGTTCTGTTTACATTTACTCCATTTCTCCTAAAGCCGGTCCTCTCAAAACCCAACATTCTCTCACTCCAGGATTTCAAAATTTGGTAGTCACATGATCCCATGACTCTGACAATGTTAGTTTACATACGCATCCACTTTTCATATTTTTCCGTGAAAATGCCCTAATTAATCCATTCAGTTGGGCTCAGTAAGTCTTGCTGTCTACCACTTCCATTTTGTGCCTGAGCAACTAAACCAGAAATGGGGCATGAGGTCTCACAATTACATGCATAGATTTATTTCCCTGGGGCTGGGAAGCAAGAAAACATGGAAAAAAAAAAAAGACTTTATTAGAAATTTGGGGTTTTTTTTTCTAGTATATATGAGATATATACTAATTGTTTAACTGCATGACAGTCGAACAAAATCAAAGCAAAAATAAAACTGCCCGAACATTAAGGATTCATCTTCCAAATCTCAACAAACTGACAAAAACGCAAAACATTTACTCAACTCTTTAACAGCGATTCTCTGTGATCTGAGACAGATAAAGATTTTTTTATCTTGTTACAACTTGGGTTTCCAAATGAGGCTTTAAGAAAGGAGGTTCTGTTGCATTAAAAAAAAAAAAATTAAAAGGGCTTGAAAAAACAGTAGCATAAACCATTATGACTTTCTCTAAGTTTTCTATTAAAAACTTCACCCAGATAAACAAGAATCCAAATACTGTTAGATGGAAGATATAAAGACAAACAAAAACTTAGCAATTAAAAGAAAAGTATCTATGCTTTCCCTATGACAGCTTCCAGTGCATGCGTGTCTCTCCCGAGGTCATACACGTCAGGCGTGGAAGGTCCTAGTCCAGACTGGCCAAGGGTTATGGCTGGCCTGCCCAAAGTCTCAGGACCCCTCAACGGCTGGACTTCAACGGGGATTCCCACCAGGGCCCTCAGCCCAAGACGAATTCAGCGGCCCCTGGCGCTGCCGGGCCCCCGAGACAGACTCGGGCCCTCAGGCAGAGGAGCCCAGGGGCCCAGGGACCCAGGTCCCTTCCGGGTGCCAGCGCCCCGGCAGGGGCTCAGGCACAGGAAAGTGCAGAACCGCGGCCACACCCGCCCAGCCCACCTGTCGCGAACCTCACAGCCAACAGCCACACCCCCGGCCCCGGCTACGCTGGTTCGAGTGCCCCGGTGACAGCAGCTGCAAGCGGCGTGGGTCCAGCCGCCCCAAGTTACCTCAGGTGCGCGCCGTGCTCGTGGCCAGGCCGCAGGGGCCACCTGGAGCAAGCGGGAACGCCTGCGCAGCCAGGCCACTGCTCTGAGGCCCCGGACCTGTTTACACCGGTCTACCGGGGGACGCAGACTGGGCCGTCACGTGACGAGTACATCACGTGGTCAGCCGCTTGCTTGGAGGTGTTGCCGAGAGACGACAGAGCTGGGGGCGGGCCGCGGCAAATCGTAGCACGGTTCCTCCCCGCTTTCTTCTGCGGTTGCGGAAGCGGGAACCTGAGCGCCCTTCCCAGCCTAGACAAGGAGGAGGTTCCCACCAGCTGGGCTTCGTCTTTCTGTGGTCCTGGGCCTAACTCCATATATCATTAATGGCTTGGAAAAGGGGAATTTGTTCCAGCAGTATGATGTTGAACTTCGGAGAAAAACATGGAAAAACTTCCTACCCAAAGTTAGCAAATGAAGGGAGAGGAGGGAAACAAGCGATAACTGTTCCATTTGTCGTAATGATCACTTGGTTGCTTTCGATCCCTAATCTGGAGTGAATAGCTATGCCCACAGTTTACCTCCCCATCTCTACCATGTAAAGGGAAGGCTCTTGGAACTTCCAACGTTTAAATTATAATTTTCATGGGAATTAGTCTTTGTACATGTAAATGACAAAGTGAAACATATCTGAATGAAAATTTGATTCAGCATTCAGACTGTGTCCACAGCAAACTTACTTTGTCACTTTGTTTTCAGTGACTATTTCTACCAATTCCAGTTTCCCCAGATCAAGCTTTGCAGAAGTTTCAGCCACTGCCAATTTTTTGCCTAATACTCATTGTAATTGCATAAAAAACTGAAAGTTTGAATTATTTCCTAGTAAATTCTTGAGTGAATTGTGAGGAAATGCCCTGCAAATTTCCAAAATTATTCTATTGTCTAGCAGTGATCTATTGGAGAATGGAGTCCCTCCATACAATTCTGACCACTTGGCATACTTGGATGACGAACAGCAAACTGACAGGGTCAAAGCAGTGGACTCTAAATACCCTCTAGATCAATACAAGATGATCAAACAACTTTTCCAATTCTGTAACACACCTAGAATGCAACATTAAAAAAAGTACAAAATACAGTGATAAATTTTCTCCATGCTCTTCTTTTACTATGGAAAATAGGTTACAAGCCCAGTTGACACAACCTGGTTGATTTTTTCTGCTGCTTTGGCCAGCAGATGTTCCAGTAAGGCAGGAACAACATCTTCTATTGGTATATCCTATGCCTAAACCATGCCTGGAAAGCAAAACAGTGAATTTGTGCACATGGAATCCTGCCATCCTTCTGTAAGAAGTAACAAACTTCATAGATCCAGAGGGATCTGGAGAGTGAGGCAGAACTCATGGAAGCAATGCTTGGGGGAGTCCTAGCTAAGTTATTACTATCTACACAATTTACCTAAAACTTCTGAGCCTCTTTCTTCATTTATCTAAAGGGAAGATAGCTGATCAACATGGTAGAGGAGTGAGTGGAAGTTACACTGATGTCCTCCCAAGGCCAACCTGGAATTACAACTAAATTGTGGAGAAATCACCTGGAACAAACAACTGAACAATAATGAGAGAGGAACCTTGTAACTTTGGACAGACAGAAGAATTGGCTTTAGCACAACCTAATTGTTTAAGGAATGTGGTAGGGACTCCAGAAGGCAGGCAAGGTGCCCATGGGTGGCAGCACTAGAAGAATATTGAAATGGCCAGTTGGATCCCCCTGAGAATAGCGGGGTCTAAACCATAAGCGAGGATCCCCAGCTTACAGCACCAAAAAGTACAAAGAAAACAGCCAATTGCAAAAAAGCGGCAGCATTGGTTTCTGCCAGAGACAGGCACTGGAAACACAAAGAGCCATTTTAAGGGTCAACACTTAAATTTTTAGTTGCAGCTACTTACCCTGGTCTCCAACAGAGGCTGGGGCAGAGTGGGCTAGAGATACCTGAAGAGACTGGGGAAGGAAGCTGTGGGGAGAGAACTGAGAGAGTAGCCAGCGGGGGTCATGGTGCTGACTCCTCCCCCATATGGCAGCAGCCATGTTGCTCAGGCAGACCACTCCCCTGAGGAACAAAAGCATGAGAGGACCCCATAAACCGGACCCTAGAAGGGACTCTGCCGCGCCCTGAGCTGTCCAAGCCAGGCTGTTGAGTGCAGAGTGACTAGGTTAACAGCTGAAGGAGACAGCGACAAATAGTAGACTCCTGGAAGTCTCAAACAGACTGCCTAAGTTCAGACAGGATCAAAATCTGACATCATCAGAGGCACATGCAGAAAGAGAAGAAAAACAGCGGTCTCCTACCATAGAAGTTCATACCACAAAGTCAGGAAATCAAGACAGATCAATTTAAGAAGCAAAAGCAAAAAAGAAGAGTTTCACACATTATGGGAAGAAAAAGAAACAACCCCCAGTGGAAGAGAAAGGAGGAATCCCCAGAAAGGGAACTAAATGAAATAGAGGCAAGTAAACTATCAGATACTGAGTTCCAAACAATGGTTCTAAGGAAGCTCAATGAGCTCAGTCAGCTCAGAGAAAATTACCAAAAACTACAGGGAAACTACAAGGAACTTACTGAAAACAATACCACCATGAAAAAGGACATAGAAACTATCAACAAGAGACAAGAGGAAATGAAGAATACAATTTCTGAATTGAAGAACACAGTAGAAGGAATCAAAAGCAGGCTCAGTGAAGCTGAGGACCGAATCAGTGAGCCAGAGGATAAGGTAGAATAAAGCTCCCAAAAGAGCAGGAAAATGAAAAAGAACTCAAAAAGAATGGAGAGGCATGTAGGGAAATGCAAGACAACCTGAAAAGTAATAATATCCGTATAATAGGGATACCAGAAGGAGAAGAGGAGCAAGGGATAGAGAACTTGTTTGAAAAAGTAATGATGGAAACCTTCCCTAATTGGAGGAGAGAAAAAGTCACACAAGTCCAGGAAGCACAGAGGGTCCCATTCAAGAAGACCCCATTGAGCCCCATTCCAAGACGCATCATCATTAAAATGGCAAATATCAAACACAAACAGAGAATCCTAAAGCAAGCAAGGGAGAAAGAGGTAATAACATATAAGGGAGCCCCCATACAAGCTAGCAGCTGACTTCTCAACAGAAACACTACAAGCCATAGGGAATGGCAAGAAATATTCCAAGTCATGAAAAGCAAAGACCTGCAACAAAGATTGCTCTACCCAGTAAGGCTCTCAATTCAAATGGAAGGTGAAATAAGGAGTTTCCCAGACAAAGGAAGGCTAAAAGAATACACCTCCACCAAACCAACACTGCAAAATATGCTAAAGGGACTGCTTTAAGAAGATGGAGAGTCTATGAATACCCAGTTCCTTTCACAGTCACCAATACTTGATATTACCAATATTTATAAAATTAATATGATTGTGACAATGATGTATTATTTTAATTGTTAATTATTTGTTGAAACTAAATCTGTTTTGTATATTTTTTGCCTATATCTATTATTTTTAAAAAGCTTTAATTGACTTTTCGGTATTCTTTATCCATTTTTTGATTAAAGGTTTGTAGAATTTTTTTCCCTAGGGGGAAAAAAAACCCTATTAACCCAGTTTTAGATGTGTTGCAAATACTTTCCTATTCTATTCCTTGTCCTTTAACTTTTTTTATATGTATATTACTATACAGTCTTAAATGTTTACTATGGTCATTGTCAATATCTTACTTTATAGCTTTTGAATATGTTACTTTAGGGTAAGATGACTATTATTTGGTTTTTTTCTCCAAAAACTTAGATTTCACATATTGATTTTTAACTCATGTGAATATTTTTTGTATAATGTGTGAAATAGGGCTCTATATTTGTTTTATTTCAAGTAATAGTGGTCCATGCACCTTATATGTTGAATAAGCCTTATCTTCCCCATTGATTTGAAATACCAATTTAGTCATATATTACATTGTTAGACAGATATATACGTTTGTTTCTAGAATGCTCATTTTATTCCAGTGATCTACTTGATTATTTCTGTGAAGATGTCACATTGTTTTAATTGCTGAAACTTTATAATAGATTTAAATTTTTAAACATTTTATAACGGATCTTGACATTAAAAAAATAAATAAATAAAACCAATCTGGGAAGAAAGAAAGAAAGAAAGACAGACAGAAAGAAAGAAAAAAGAGGGAACTCCTACCTTTTGCAACAACATGGATGGAACTGGAGAATTATGTGCTAGGTGAAATAAGCCAGTCAGTGAAAGAAAAATACTATATGATCTCATCTATAAGTGGAATCTATTCAACAAAATAAACTAACGAACAAAATCAACCACAGGCATGGAAACATGGAGCAGACTGAAAGTTACCAGAGGGGAAGAGGAAGGAGAACAATGGTGGAAAGAAGGGGAAGGGACTAGACAAAGAACATGTATGAATGACCCATGGACATGGACAACAGAGTGGGAATTGACTGTTGGGGGGGGGGATGGGTAGAGGGGAGTAAAGGGGTAAAAACTGAGACAACTGTAATAGAATAAACATGATTTATAAATTTAAATAAATAAATAAATAGTCCCCTCCCCAAATAAAATGAATTACCATTAAATCCAGCAATTCCAATTCTGTGTATATGCTCAAAATAATTGAAAGCAATGTCTCAAAAGGATATTGGTATACCTATATTCATAGCAGTAGTTCAAATATGAAAACACACAAGTTTTTACCCAAAGATGTCTCGATAGCAAAATGTATATATTTTCAATAATATGTTGAATATTATTCAGCGTTAAAAAGTATGATTCTGACACATGCCACAACACAGATGGACCTTGACATTATGCTAAGTAAACCAAACACATATAATAAATACTGTATTATTCAATTATATGAAGTAGTTAGAGTAGTTAAAATTATAGGATCAGAAAGTAGAATAGTGGTTTCCAGGGATTAGGGGGAGGGGGAAATGAGGACATAGTGTTTAATGAGTACAGTGTTTCAGTTTTTACATATAAAAAGAGGTCTTGAGGTGGATAGTGGTAATGATTGCTGAATAATGTCAATGTAGTACTTAATGAACTGAATTATACACTTAAAATGATTAAAACAGTAAATTTTGTCATGTGTAGTTTACC